CGTTGGGGGGCTGATCCTCATCTTCACAGGCCTGCCACACTCACTAGCTCCCCAGGAGCCCCCCACAATCAACATTCCCACCATTAACTTCTGTTTTTAGAGGTTTAGGACGGCTCTAAAATGCCACCTGGATGGTGAAGGATCCCACCACATTGTTTTAAGTTACAAGAAACTTTTTAAAACAGAAAAGAAGACATAAGAATGAAATGTCTGTAATTTCAGACTCTGCCCAGTGTTTCTGGAGTGCTGAAGAACTTTTTTTTCTTTCTGTGCACCCTACCGGCATTCAAATCAAAGCTTTGAAGTTCACTGTTTTAAATATAAAATGAAGATAGTCCCTTTACTTTGAAGAGATGGTTATCAAAGAAGATTAATGTATAGCTGGCAAGTAAAATAATAATGGAGGACATGTTTCTTTCTAGTCAAAGGAATTTCAGATCTCTTGAACAGGAACTAAGGATCACATGTAGTGGTGAGGAGTGACCAGGGTGATATCCAAGTGACACACCATGTGGGTTCTGTCCATTGAAATATAAACACACATTCTCTAGACATGTATGACAACTTACTAGATATGAATACAAGCTAGCTGCTCTCTCAGTGGGCACAGAATCTCCCTTTGATGGAGCCTGCAACAGTGTGGGCTTCTCTAAGACCTAAGTTGTGCAGAAGCTGTGGTGGTTTTCTGTGACACTGTACTGGTCCTTGTATTAGAATTGGCTTATTGTCATCAGCCATCTCCCTATTGTTGTGATAACCCAAGTGAGCAAGCAAAGAATCAAAGTGCTTCATTTGGTCATCAAAAGTTACTCAAGAGTGACTGGGGAGATAATTCAGGTCATAAGGGTACAGTGCTTAACACAGAAGCAGGGGACACCTGAGCTTGATTCCCAGCACCACATAAAAAGCCAGGTAAGGTGGACACACTTTTAATCCTAGTGCTAGAGAGACAGGCAGATCCCTAGAGCTCACTGGCCAGAGAGCCTAACCTATTTAGTTATCTGTAGCTAGTGAGTGAACCTGTCTTGAAAGGAAGGTGGAGAGGTGGATCTGAGGAATGACATCTGAGTTTGTCCTTTGAGTTACCTGTGTGTACGTGCGCACACACACACACACACACACACACACACACACACACACACACACAAATTGCTAAAGATTTACTATGTGTCAAGTCTCATTCTAGACCCTGGAAATAGATATAAAGAAAAACAGGGCCTGTTCTCTAACCAAGTGCTTTATGGACTGACCCTTCTCCCTAACCTTGAACTGGACACTCTGTGTGAGGCTTCACCAGTCTGTCTGCAGAGTGTGTTGCATAGTTTTATGTCAACTTGGCACAAGCTAAAGCCATCTTAGAGGTGGGAACCTCCACTAAGAAAATGACTTCATAAGATAGGGCTGTAGGCAGCCTGTAGGTCACTTTCTTAATTAGTGATTGATACAGGATGGCCCAGTCCATTGCGGATGGGGTCATCCCTGGGCTGGTGGCCCTGAGTTCTATAAGAAAGCAGGATTAGCAAGCCATGAGGAGCAAGCCGGTAAGCAGCACCCCTCCATGGCCTCTGCATCAGCTCCTGCCTCCACATTCTTGCCCTGATTGAGTTTCTGCCTTGGCTTCCCTCCATGGACTGTGATGTGCAACCCAAATAAGGCCTTTTCTCCCTAAGTTCCTTTAGTCCTGATGTTTCATCATAGCGACAGAAACCCTAAGATACAGATCTTCCACATAATGCTGAGAATCGGTCCTGACACACAGTGATGCCTCTGCAACCCGAGAGGGCTGCAGGCGCATGCCAGCACTTGTGAGTACCATTTACAGATGACTTTCTATGCCTTGCATCAGCCTACTGAGTTAGTGGGTCATCACAGGAAAACAGACACTTCCCAAGATCTCAGGGGACTCTGACGCTGCTAATACATTGAGCACAACTGCTGAAGGCATTTGTCTGCAACCCAGTACCTTCTCTAGCTTGCTATGTGTTAGTCCCAGGAGAGTCAAGAACATTGTCCAGTCATCTCTGTTTTGTGGTTCAGAAAGATTTCTCAAGGATAAAAGGCTAGTGGGAAAAGGAGGTGGGAGTTTGAAAAGCAACAAGAGTGACATGGCTCAGTAGTTAAAGGCCGTGGAGCCTGAGAACCTGATGAGTTAATGCTCAGAACACACGTGGCAGAAGGAGAGAAGCAACTCCTGGAAGCTGTCCTCTGACCTCTGCACTTGGGCTATGGAACACGTCCCCTCCACACACAGGAAAATACACATAGTCACTTTTTTTCATTTAGGAAAAGAGGGAATGCTGCACAATTTAATTTCCAGTCCTGTGGGCAGAAGCAAGAGCCACCATGGTTCCAGAGAACAGAACCATGTTGTGAGTTAGCAGGAACCTGGATGCTTCTTCTAACACATAGTAGAACTAAAAACATTGTCACAGTCAATGCCATGGGGTCAATCATGGGAGGTTCTGCTCCTCAGAATTTAAAATCTAAACTCACAGAGAAAGGGGGACTCATTCTCCATCTACTTTCCAGAGGCTCACATTTTCTCTTTCAATTTTTAGGCATAGGAAATCAGGATCTTCATTTCAACTTTTTTTTTAAAAAATCCATCCCCCCCCTTCTAAAATCAGCAAATCCAATCCTGAGAGAAGAAAGGCCTGCTGAACATTCACTTGTAACCCCAGCACTGAGGAAGCTGAGGCTATCTTGGGATACAGGGTGCTCCTGTCTGGAAAATGAAAAACAAAACCAAACAAAGAAACCACCTGGGTTTCAGGAGAATTCAACTTTTGATTCAAGGACACAGACCCAAGTTTAAAGATTATTGAGCCAAGATACTTAGGAATGTCATAGAATGGTAATCATAAAGTTAAAATTCCATTCATCCATCCACATATTCACTTGTTCACCCATTCATCTGTTCACCCACCCACCTACCCATCCACCCATCCACCCATCCACCCATCCATCCATCCACCCATCTAACAATTAAAAAAAAAAAAAAAACAAGCCAGCAATCCAGTGGGAGAATTCAGAAATGTAAAAGATTGGGTACAACTATGATAAATTTTATTCAAGAAATAGGAGTATGAACAATAGCATTTAACTTGAGTGTCAGTCTGGGGTTGGAGGTCAGGGAAGAATTCTTTGAAGAAAAATGGCCCAGTCAATACCTATGAGCTGAGTGGGCAGAAGGCAGCAGAGTAGCTGTAGACAAGGTGGTCAATCAAGAAGGGTAGCCTTGACCAGGTCATGAGACAGGAAGAACCATGGCCTGCAAGGTGAGCCAAGCCAGGGGTGACACCTGGGGACAGTTGTGGAATGAAATCACTCAGGCAATGCTGAAAGACTCTGATGAGCCCAGATTTGAATTTTTAAGGGTACGTTGTGACTTCTCTATGAGGAATACATCAGAGGAGGAGGAGGAGGCTGAATTTAGAACAGGGGGATAATCAATTGACAGTCCCCAGCCTCCCACAGATCTCTAGAGACATATCTGCACTGTGCTCTTTCATGACTCTGTCTGCCATGATTGCAGTTTTCATCTGATGACTTAGATTGTTTAATTCTGCCCTTTGTAGAAGACTGGGCTTCCTTCCCCTTTGGAAAACCCAAAATACACAGCAAAGATTGGCATGAAACACGAGCAAGTAGCCCAGACTTTGTGCCTCTAGTTACTCTGTAGCCCCATGTCAAGTTCATCTGTAGTCCTAACCCCTAATATCTCCAAAGGTTCCAAATGTATTTGGAAACAGGTAATTGAGTTAAAAGGGGGCCTCATCCACCATGACCGGTGTCCTTAGAAGATTCAGCTTAGAGTGCTAAAACTTTCAGCTGAGCTATTCGGAAACGTCATAGGATGGAAATCATGAAACCAATCACTCACCACCCACCCAGCCATTCAACAGTGAACAAAGAAAAAAACATGCAAGCCAGGGGTAGGGAATGAAGAGGACAAAGACAGGTTGGTTTTGGACTTGCTATGTATCCAATGATGACCTTGAATTTCCGATCCTCCTGCCTCCATCTCCCCAGGACTGGGACTACGAGTATATGCCACCATGTCTGGTTTGCACATGTATGTTCCACTGATCACCTCAGAGTGAACCACTGATCTACACTGTCCTGACTCCCACCTGACCTAATATCCTCTTTCTGCCCACACTCAGTCTGGTGTGGCTATGGAGACTCAGTTTAATTTTCCAATTTCTTATCCCCAAGCAGCTGCTTTCTCTTTGAGGCCTCCTTGACTTTGTTTTCTCATGAAAGCACGGCAGGCCCAGCCGTCTAACTTTATTCCTGGCCAAGATCATCTTTTGTAAACATTCCCTTAAAGTTAAAATGAAAACTGTTCCTCCTTTGCTTATGATGATGAAAGAGAAATATATATATATATATATATATATTGTTCTGCCTAAACTATCAAAACCACACAGCCAGTGCCTCCTAAATGCAAACACCTTGCTGACCTTCCCTTTTATTTATACCCTCCCTGGGACTTCCCAACAACAGCCACCCTCTGAGTCTCCTCTCTCTTCTCCTCACTGTCCTGTCTCTCCATGGGAAAACCCACAGGCAAATCATGAAGATACTTTGCTCAGATCACTCGGCAAGCAGTCTACCACCTAATGAGCTACATCCCCAGCCCCACTATACAGGATATTTTGCTTTGGGATCGTGGCTGAAGCTGGCACCCTCAGATTTAGTTGTTTGCAAATATAGACAAGACTGAATATTAAATGTGCATATTATTATGATCAGAGACCCATACAGACAGTCTGTGTTCATGTATTAGCAAGCACAATGTCGTTACAATTTCATGGGTTTTTCTTTGGCTTGAAGTAAAACTACAGAAAGATAAAATATTTGATCAGCTACCTGCATTTTATTTTATTTTGAATTTTCTATTGCTTTAGGCCCTAGATATTGCCAAGGAGTGGGATTAAGAAGAAGTAACACGGAAAGACAGATCCATCGTGGGTTCCTTACAGAGGAAGAGTTACCTGGCAAAGCCAACGCCCCTGCTGACTCCGTTAGCATCTCTCAGGATTCTGGTGGATATCACATGTCCAAAGGGCTTTAACATGTTCTCCAGCTCTTGCTCATCCATAGAGATGGGGAGATTTGAGATGTATAGGTTTGTAGGGTCTTGTTCTTGTTGCTAAGGGAAGAAAAAGAAACAAATGCCATGAGGTCTATTGAGAAGCATCACACTTATATTGCAAACCAGAGTCTAAAATCCTCTGTCGTCCTCAAAGGGTACTGCTTCCCAGGCTGCCTCCAAATGCCTTAGACAGCCAGGGTGACTGTCCTAGTTAGGGCAAATGTTGCTGTGATGAAACACCATGACCAAAGAAACTTGGGGAGGAAAGAGTTTATTTCAGCTTACACTTCCTGGTAACAGAGTAAGTACATCACTGAAGGAAGTCAAGGCAGAAACCTGGAGTCAGGAGCTGATGCAGAGGTCATGGAGGAGTGCTACTTACTGGCTTGCCCCCCATGGCTTGCTCAGTCTGGTTTCTTATAGAATCCAGGACCACTTGCCCAGGGATGACCCCACTTGCAATGGGCTTGGTCTTTCCCCATCAATCACTAATTAAGAAAGTGCCCTATAGGCTTGCTTACAGTCCAATCTAATGGAGGCATTTTCTCAGGTGAGGCTCCCTCTTCTATGTGACCCTTGCTTGTGTCAAGCTGACATAAAACTAGCCATCACAGTGGCTTAGAACTCATGATGCCCTTCTCCAACCTCTCAAATTCTGGGATGATAGGTGTGCCACATCTGGCCATCAATTCCTTTTACTAAGCTTCCTTCCTGTGTAGGACGTTTCTCATAAAAAAGAAAGTCATCAATGAAAACCAGGCTCTTTGTCCACCCTTCCTTGTAACAGACACATACAAGCTCATATTACAGTTAAGCTTAGGTGAACACAGATAGAAATCATTCCGTAACCATGAGGCATCCACCAGTGACACCTTAAACCTCAAATGGCACTAACCCCTGCAATTTCATCTTTCCCACCTTTGTTAAGCACTTGCTATGTACTATACATGACTTTTGTAGACAGAGGGGTGACAGCGAAACTCATATGATTTGTCTCTCCTCACAACTTCATGAATAGGAGTCTCACTGGTACTATAAATCTTGGCCATTCCATTAATAAAAATCTTTTTCTCAAGTTGTGAACATTCACCTTCTCACCTGAAGGAAACACTCTGTGGCTTCTCTTGGCATGCTCACATGGCCAGCATCCCTACATGTACCTGTTGAGGTTACTGGTAAGTGAAATAATGGTTCCGGAACAGGCACTGCATGGGTGACCCAGTAGATCTGATAACTGAGATTGTTCCTTGTTGTAGAATATTTTTTAACAAAGATGTGTTGCATTTGTTTATGTGCAGAATATTACTTTAACCGTGTAGTTATTATATAAATATTCTATTTATATAAACATTGTTTATGCTGCATTGTTTAATTATGTAAAGATGTGTTGCATTTGTTTTACCTTGCCTGCCTAAGGCACCTGATTAATCTAATAAAAAGCTGAATGGCCAATTGCTAGACAGAAGAAAGGATAGGTGGGGCTGGCAGGCAGAGAGAATAAATAAGAGAAATCTAGGCTCAAGAAGAACAAGAGGAGAGAACTAGGAAGATGCCTGAGGCCAGGAACCAGGCAGCTGCTGCCATCCACAAGAAGCAGTGAAAGTAAGATATACAGAAAGAAAAGTAAGAAGCCCCGAGGCAAAAGGTAGATGAGGAGAAACAGGTTAATTTAAGTTAAAAGAGCTAACCAAAAAGAGCTAAGCTAAGGCAGAGCATTCAACACTAATAATTAGTCTCTGTGTCATGATTTGGGTGTTGGTTGATGGCCTAAAGGAAAAAGCCTGGTACAGCTCCTGAGTGTTTGATGGGTGGATAACACAGACAACACAGACACACTGGACACAGGACTGATTTACAACCACAGCAGGTCACTGCAAGAGTCACTGTGTAGTCAGAATAGTATCAATACACAATTATCATTGTGAACTTACTTCTGGAATTTTCCACTTACTAGTTTCAGATTGTGGTTTACTATGGATAACTAAAGCCGTGGAAGGCCAACCAGTCACTGGAGGATACTTGTACTAGCTACTGACCTTCTTGTACCAGTCTAGGTTCACCACTCCATTAGTGCTATGTTTGTGAAGTCATCATTCTAGGTACTCAACTATCTTTTCACTCATTACTTATATACATACCCATTTTGTAGATGGCACATTCAACCCCTAACTTATCCATGTGACAAATTCACAAGTGTGAAAGGCAGGGAATATTTCCTAGGCCACCATTTAGGCCACAAGTTTTATTGCTCTTTGATACTGCCTCCCACTAGATGAGTGGATACCATGCTGTGGACCCAGAACTTCAGTATCAACATTACCTTAAGCCAGGTATGGAGTGTACACCTATAAGCTCAGCACTCAGGCAGTGGAGGCATGAGAGTTAGAAGTTCAAGGCTAACCTCAGCTACACAGTGATTCTGAAAGCTATCTGGGCATCATGAGAATCTCTCTCAAAAGAAATATATTAAAAAATAAATAAAAATTTAAAAATTTCACCTGAAACTGGCTAGAAATAGCAATTCTCAGGACCACCTTGAGATACTGAATTATGAACTCCAAATACAAGCCTATTTTAACAAGTCCTCTAAATGATTCTCATAATTGCATCAATTTGAGAGTTGCCATCTCAGACCAAGCAGGAATACTTCTATGCAAATGAGCTCATTATGTCTAAGATTTCATTCAGTGGTAACAATGCTTACGCAAGCTTTGCTTACTAGCAAGGAAAACCACAAGTGCTAGCATTATCTGTATGTGTGAACATTCTATGATTCATATATGAATTAATAAATTGAAACATAGTAATATGTATTTTGAAACAGTTATATTGTCAGAAACAAAACAGGGTCAGAATGTCATAATTAATCACTAATATCAAAATAAGTCAGACATTTAATTGAACCATTATAATTTAGCCAAAACAAAACCTTAGCTTCAAGAACAAGCAAGAGATTAAGCTGGCAAAAGAAGTCCAAAAATATTCTGGAATAAGTAAATGTAAGGTTTTAAAAAATGAGAGACTATAAAAATGTAATTCCAAATATTATTTTAGGTCAAGAAATAATTTTATTAAAAACTAAATTGCATTATTCTTAACAACTTTATGCAAATAGGTCACAATATTTTTTTATTAATTCTTGAGATGAATAAAACATTGTCATGGAGAGATGGCTTAGTGGCTAAGGGCACTTGTTGCTTTTCTAGAGGACCTAGGTTCAGTTTTCAGCACCTACACCGTGGCTCACAACCACTCCTAACTCCTATTTGGGAGATCTAATTCATTCTTCTGGGCTTGCACACATGTGGCAAACATACACACATGGAGCAAAACACTCACACACATAAAATATGAAAATAAGTAAAACCTCTAAAGGAAATCTACTACCAGGTTTGTTATTTAAACATAACTTATCTTTAAACATTTTTATTACCAGGAAAATATTAAGAAATATCTGAAAAAGTCCACAGCTTTAGCATTTGGGAATGGTACCTTTGTGGGAAATGTACTATTGAAATCCTTGCTTCGTTTCCTCTCCTTCTCTTTCTGTCACACACACACACACACACACACACACACACACACACACACACACACACACACACAAATACTACCACCAACAAACCTCAAATGTCATGATCATTGTAAGAAAATGAGATATTATTTTTCCATTAAATGGCTGAAGGTCTCTCGTTCTCCTCTCTCTCTCTGATGCTGCATATACATAATAATGAGCCTTATGCACATAAACCTTCAAGTTTTACAGTATTTTACTATCCATCACTTAATTTTAATCTTCCCATCATAACTGTAAAGGTATTTTGGCAAATATCATCGTTCGTATTGGATAATGAGGAAAGAGAGCCATGAAAGATTTATCACCCTGCCCAAGGACAATCTGATAATTAGTGACAGAGTTAGAATTAGACTTACAACCAGTTCGATGTATTTTCAACCAGCTCAGTGTTCTCCAAGTTTCAATCATTTGCATATCAGCTCTTAGATTTTTTTTGCCTGCCACTAACTATTTATTTAAAAGGTTTTTCTAAAACCAACATGCATTGGTTTAAAATGACTTAAACTCATTTTAAAATCACAACTTTATGCTGTGACTGTCACAGGAGAGCCAGGGTCTCCTGCCATAAATAGAACGTTACTCACAATAGTGATCATATTGAGCAGTTAATGTTATCTGTGGACGCCTTTGACACTTCTAGTTGACTCTGATGCAAAGGGAATTTTCAATGAAGAGAGGTGAGAGGCACATTAGAGTGCTTGTTTTAAACTGGGAAGTAGTTCTGACAAAAAAAACTACAAAAGAAACAACTTTCTCTTAATGCACCGAGGGAGGGGCTCATGCAAAGATGGCGGCTGGAGGACAACTTCAGGTATTCACTCAGGAACTCCATCTGCCTCCTTAGAGACAGAGCCTTCGGTTGGCCCAGGTCTCACCAATTAGGCTAGACCAGCTAGTCAGAGAGCCCCAGATATACACTGTCTCCTCCCCAGTGCAAAGCATCAAACACTGGGTCTCCCATTTTACACAGCATGGTGGTTTGAATGAGAATGTCCTCCATAGGCTCATATGTTTGACCACTTGGTCCCCAGTTGGGGGAACTCTTTGGGAAGGGTTAGGAGTTGTGGCCATTTTGGAGAAATGTCACTAGGGGCAGACTTTAAAAGGCTTACACCTTCCCCAGTTAGCACTTTCTCTGCCTTGTGATTGCTATCTCAAGATGCAAGCTCTCAGCTATTGCTCCACCCTCCTGCCATGCACTGCACCACGATGGTCATGGACTCTAACCCTGTGAAACCGTAAACCCTAAAGAAATGCTTTCTTTTATAAGTTGCCTTGGTGATGGCGTATTATCACAACAATAGAAACGTAACTATGACACATGGGTCCTACAGAATCAAACTCATCACACTTGCATGGCAAACACTTTAGCAACAGAGCTATCTCCCCCTCACTAGGAACATGGTTTTCTATAAGACATACATTGAGGAATACATATTCAAACACGTAGGAGTCTCTGCACTCAGTCAGACCTTACCAG